ATGGCCAATTAATTGCATATAAGGCTTCAAAATGGGGACATTTCATTTTCTGAGTTCTACCCCCATAGACTTGCATTGAGTTCTAAGTTCGAATCAGAACTTTTTCCATGGGGGTGTTCGGCTCATCCCTACTCCCCAACACCTCTTGACTTTATACCACCGCGGCATTTCAGTACGATTTTTCGCCCGCTGACATCCATTCAGCCCATACCTCACACTGCCGTTGCGGCTCAGCCTGGCCACCTGAGTCCGCACAGCTCCCAACACCTGACTGCAGTGCCTTCCTACTCACCCCACCTTCGTCTCATCCTGTATCCTGGCCAACACCACGCTTTGCACAGTGAATATAGAAGATTTCCCCCTGAAGACGTAGTGACATCTATGAATGTGAGTCAAGTTTTAATCAGTAGTAGCGCTCTCAATACATCTGTTTATTGTTGCTCCATACAGGGCTCCTCACCCTGTTGTTCATAGAGCTTGCACACTGTTTCTTAAACTTTTTGGTGCCCATATCTCTAGTAGTGGTTACTCTAGGTAGTGCGCTTTTTCAATTTTTTGTTGTGATAGCTCATTTTTAATAGAATTCTTGCTATAAGAGCGTGACCTATTTGAGTACAATATACCCATAGCTAAGGCATTAATACCATACAGATGCATATGAACAAAAGCGCAAGACTTGCTTATTAACATTCATGATGCAGAAAGGCTTGGAATAGTGTTTTCCCTAAGTATTCCTCAAAAGGACAGGTGTCAGTGCAGTTTTGTGGAAATTGATAGTGATGTGATGGGTAAAAAGGATTTTTCTTGGTATACCAGTTTGCAGTTCTGATGATATGATTTTGCCTGATGTGTGTAAACCCTGTGTATGACAGTGATCTCAAACAGCTGAATTTTTCATATTTATCTGTTGCCAATTTTTGAGTCCTATCTGTGGCACAAATGTCCACATTGCAAAACTTAATCCATTTGGTAAATGAAGAGGAAATAATCTATTTTCCTCGGATTAAGCTGACACGTTTTCCATTGGTTGTTGACCGCCATTCCTCATTTACATGATCTAGCAACTAGATTCAGGTAATTCCCATAACGTCTTGTAATTATGGTAATTGGGACTGTTTTGAAGGCAGAAAAACTGTCAGATGCCACTCCAACAACATTGCAGCACATAATTATCATAGCTTTCCATGGGTTCATTTCAGGGTCTATAGGTTTATCACAGTTGTTTATATCAAGTAAGTGACTGGTTACAGTGTTTTTGTAAGAGGAAAGCTCTGCGATCTAGCAGCAATATTTTAATTGAACTTTTCCTAAGAGAAATATAAAGGCTGCCTTTGTGAATCTCCTTCTGAAAATCATAATTGCTTAGCTGTTTCTGGCTGCAGTTACTCGGAACAACTAGGCACCTAAAGTTAAAATAAAGTCAAATATCTTTAACTGAATACCGGCACACACTCCAACTGTACTGTCTTTTTGGCTGGTACAGGACCAGTTTTTAATGTGCGCACCGGATGCCAGGGCATGTACTGGTCTGTATCAGCTTTTTCACAATGTACCGCCCAGCTCTGCTGCGCCACCCAGTACAGAGCTTTCCGTGACAGTCACACTGGCAGCCACACCCCTTTTCACATCATCACACTTGCGCCACTCTGCTTCCCAACCACCAAGGAACATTGTCGTGATTGGAATCACGACAATAAGTCTCTGTCACTGATAGGAAGGCAGTTAAGAAATCGCTGGGTGGTGTAGGTAAGATTTGCACTGGCTGAAGCTGATTCAAGGACTGAAGGGGGTGCTGATCTCAGATTAGTGAACCAAAGGGGCCAATTTATTACAGCAAAAGGATATCAATATCTGCTCTCCATTATATTCCGTAATATAAGTCCACCATGGTCTGCATTTTATGGCATAATATAAAATCCACTGTGAGGAACCTGCAATGTACCACAGAGTTCTTTTTGCTTAAAACAGCAGAGAGAGCTCCTTGATTAGAGGACAAATAGTCATGTGAATTTGACAGGTCACATGACCGGGTTCTCCTCCTGTCTTATTTTCTTTCTACCATTTTCTACTATTTATTTTGATTCCCCTTCACTGACTTTGGACTCCAAAATCCAGCGAACATCGATGCACATATGTAAAGTTGTAAAGTGCAGCAATGTGCTTTAAGGGCCATGCAGATGGAACAAACCACACAAGACACATACGACATCATCCTCCGTGGTTGGCGTAACGTGTGCGAATCAGTTGTCTGTGAAACATGGCGAGAACTACAATTTAAATTGATTCATAGGGCTTACTATGCGTTCAACTTCACTCCCGTATCTCCGCCCGCTGACTGGCTCCTGCAATGCCCAAAATGTTCTTTCCCTCGGCCCGATCTAACACATCTAATTTGGTCCTGCCCCACCATCCAAACGTTTTGGCAACAGGTACTTACCTACATGCAGTCTCTGACCTGTGTGACCAGGGAAGTGGCTCGCTGCAGTTGCCCCAACAGTATCTGATGTAAGAGCTGTCCTTTTCAAGCTTATGCTCCTGGAAAAACTAGACACTAAATTCAACTCCTCTCGGACCAGCAAATTCTTTCAAAATTGGAAGGCATATCTCAAAACAGAACTGACCTTAGCGCAACTCAAAGATGTCATGGCCACTTTCCAATACGCACACTGGTATCTCATGGCTAAACTTGACGGCTCCCTAGGAGCACTGGACGTCCTATGACGAGGCCCACATCCTAGATATGCCACCCTGGCAGGGGCGCCTGTACCTGGCTCCACACCCAACCGCGATTCGCACCGATGACCTGATAAATCTTAACCCCTACTTTTTAGACCTTTGACACCTTCTCGCATGTCCTTTCTGTCCCACAGGGTATACATCATCTCCGGTTTTGAACCATCTAATAGTATTCACACTCTAAGACCATACTGTGCCTGTCTTTTATTTTATCCTTCTTTCTTTCCTTAGTTGGAATCTCAACCCATTTCCCGATTCAATGTGCCGCTAGATCGTTGAGGTTTTGGCTTTGATCTCTGTTTTTATTATTGATACTCTATAGTTTGTATTATTTCACACCCTCCTATTACATCCAGATTCTGTTATGTAGATGATTTCACATCGTTTGCAGTTGTAAGTGATTATACATTCCTGCGCGACTGGCTTCTATGCTAGTTGCTTATGTCGGTGTGTTCACATTTATGACCTTCACTTTATGGATGTAACAAGTTGCAACCCTATATTGTATTCATAAAAAATGTTCTAATAAAAATGTATATGCTTAAAAAAAAAAAAAAGACCAGGGATGGTCTGAACGTGAGCTTCTCTCAACAAGGAAGTGCCATAGGCAATTCTACCCAATCAGCTGCAGGCTGGGCATTCCCTGCCCTGCAGCTGCATATAAACAAAGGAGAGGGATGCTTGTGCTGATGTATTTAACCTTATATGTCCACATAGCCATATTAGGTAAATTACACCAAATATATGCATGTATTCATATAAAGTCAATGACATCACTGAATCTTTCCCCTTTGCTTATGTCAAGCTGCAAATGGGGAATTTCCCATCCAAAGCTGATTGGGTGGCTCTTAAGGAGCTTCCTAATGTGTTCAGGAGGAGCTCAGGTTTGGACCAGGTTTGGTCTGAATCTGAGCTCCTCCCTGAGTCCAGACAATTAATATTTTTAGAATGAGAAGTCAGCAATGGCAGCCTCCATGTTTCTCTCATGAAAAGTTTCCTTTTTACGATTCCAGATGTAGTAGATCTTAAACAATTAAAGCCCAACTCTAGCCATATCTTTTTTTTTTACTTTTTAGTTTTTGATAGAATGGATAAGTGTCAGGATGCAGGGAGCAATAAAAGCAGATGTTCACATTCTTCCTCACTCCACTAAATAAACATGCTATTGTAACTGTCTCTTTATGTTATGGACAATTAAGCATGAAGACTGGGAACACTATGAGGTGGGCAGGAAGACCCAAACAGATCTATAGTAGATGAAATCAAGCCACTGGGGTCCCCTGCAGATATAATAAACCAATTGGTGACTCAGCCCCTAGATTCTTTCTGTAACCAGAATACCACTTTTCCATGAATTGACCATTGAAAGAGAATATAGCTTTTCTTTACGCTTTATGTTCATACCTCTGTGAATCTGCTTGTTTGTGTTGGCTTTGTACAACCTATAATAGCTGGTGGCAAAAATAATCCAGGATTCTATTTTTGCCAGAAAGTGTCATGTCCTTCTTTGTTCAATTGCATTTAATTAGAAAGTTTCTTTTGCAGTGAGAAAGAAGCATAGAACAGTCGTTTAAAAATACATTAAAACTCCCAAGTTAAACTACAAGAAAATGTCAGCAGAATTAAGAGATTTCTGTGCACCTTATATCATCTATTGTTTAGCAATTTACTGAAAGAATAGTTATACTGAAGTCAGCATGGGAACATTTGCAACCCAAACCCAAATCTGAATATTTCACTAGGATGCAGTTACTGAACTCGGGGAAGATATAAGAGACACAAATTAATGCAGCTCTGTAATCACTTAATACAACATTAAATGTATTCTTTAAATGCAAGCAGTGAAAGTACTGGGATTTGATCTGCTATCAGCCTCTTGCAGTCCTTGAACAGAAGAGCTTGAGCGTGAGAAGGTGAAGCAGTACAAGGAGCCAATCAGTTCACGTGCTGCAAGAAGCATACTGATAGGTATAGAGGGCTAGAGATGAACTCTTCATTGTGCTGCTACTTCTTTCACTGTCCAGCCACAAGTTGAGGCAGTCCCAGGAAGGTTTGGACTTAATGATGCTGCCCATCAGGATATTGTGATTTTATAGATAGCTAACAGTCCTACTTTAATTCAATGCCCATTGAAGGTAAAGGGAAAACTATTTGCTGGCTATTCTTGCTTTTTAACACATGGTACTTTATATGTTGTCTTGTTCCATTTTTGTAAGAAGTTTATTTCTTCGTGTTTTAACCATTCTCTTTTTTTTATTTCATAGCGCCTCCGACCAGCTGTACTGAATGCGTATACCTCTTTGACTAGAAAGGAAAACTCAGACAAGGAACATGGATTTCGTTATGAAACAAGCTTTAGGGGGTAAGATTGATCTTCTTTTCTAAGCAATTTCATCCACTATTCAAATGACTTCTTTTCCTTTTACTGTGATTACTATTGTCTTCCACTAATTGCAGTTTTAGACCTGTATCGACTTTCAGTCTCTGCACTTCAATTTCATTACTTGTAACCATGCAAAGGCTCTTTTCGATAAATCAGAATGAATGGAACTTGTAACAATGGATTCAGTGTTACTATACAGACCAACGCTGGATAATTAATTCAATAATGCTCGGCATAACCAGTTATTTAAAGCCCACCTCCAGTTAGAGCAGCAAAATTATAGCACCTCTGCTGCATTTAAATGAATGTTCTTGTTACCCATGTTCAGGACAGGAAGTGCGGTGCACACAAACAGTCAGAGCTTTTAATGTTTCCTCTTTCTAACCAAAACTAAAATAAAACAGTAGCAGTATCATTGGAAAGTCCATGAAATATTTATTAGTTGCGCATGGTGATGTAAATGTAATATGTAAATGAATGCTCACACCTTGCCGCTGTTTAATGTCTAGTTACGATCACTACCCAGACCCATATATTAATATTATTTATATCATTTTCACATATGAAACTAAATCAATCACTATATTGTGACCCTAAGAAAAAGGGTGGGTAGTAGAAGAGTGATGTAATCTGCCAGGTCATCATAGATAGACCCAAAGCAAGGAGGTTGTGAGCGTGCTGGTCCCCTGCTAGTTTGATGGCAGCCCATATGCCTATCAGTTATAGACTGGTGCCTTAAGAAAAAGTTCAATAAACTTACTATCTCTCAAAACACTAGCATGATGCCAAAGCATGAGCCCAGTACCCAGAAGGATTTACATGGCAAAGCAACAGGTTTGCTTTGATGCAGACCTGCACAGACAGGTATGCTTGCATTCCTTTCACTCCCCTGATGTTGCATTCATTTCCTAGAAAAGAAAGTAAATCTTGGGTCACTTTAGTCATTACACAGGGCTATTGAATGTTCATGTAATAGCACTAATTGACTCAGCGCTGTCTCATGGAGTAAGTCACATGCTCTATCATACCTATAAAAACCGCCATTTCCTTCATCTTACTGGAGCAGTGAAGGGAAAGGTAAATCTTGGGTTGCTTTAGTCATAGCTTACACAGGGCTATTGCATCTTCATGTGATAGCATTAATTGCCTGAGTGCTTTCTCATAGAGTAAGTCGCATGCTCTATAATACCTGAAGAATCAGCCATTTCCTTCAGCTTAAAGGAGAACTATGGGGTCAGGGGTTTTCCCCATAGTTCTCCTTAGGGTAACGTCGAGGACACAAACTAGCGTCCTCCTGTCACCCTAAGCTCAGTATACCGCGAGCTACAACTCGCGGTATACTGATACGTCGCAGCCGGAGTGGATCCCGACATCAATGTTGAGATCCGCCTAGCTGCGGGAGTGACAGCTGGCTCTGCCTATCGTCCGTTCCGCCAGGCAGCGCTGGCGGATCGGAGCGGGGAGGGGGGAATCCATCCCCTCCCCTGTCACGGCAGAGAGCCGTGACAGGATCGAGAAGTGAGTGAACACCGGCATGTGTTCGCTCACCTCCCGATCTACTGAGCCGACCTGTGACAGTCTCATTGTCACAGGTCGGCTAGAACTATGAGGTGAGTGAAAAGCACTCACCTCATAGTTCTCCTTTAATTGAACAATAAAGGAGTAAACAAAATGTAAGTATATACTTGGAATGGAAGAAGCACAGGTTCTCTTTAAATTTCTAATTTATTAAAACTATATGAATAGTATTGTAGGAGGGAATTAGAAGTTTATACTGACCATATGCAACTTCTTTTTTACTATGTAGCTGTAAAAGCATTTTGCTTTCCTTGCAGCCCTTAAAATGTTGCTTCTTTGGTCAATTCCCTTCATGAATAAACCCACCTCCTTCCCTGATTGTGGCACCTGCTAGTGATGAACCCATGATATGAGTACTGCTCATCCATGTACAGTTTGCACATTGTTTATGAAGATACCAGAGAGTTGAGACCTGCATGTGAGCCGTAAACCTGTGCAAATTTTATAGTTACCCAGTGTCTTATTTGTAAATTTTAAGATCAGGTCAAAGGCTTTTTATTTCCACCAGGGTATCAGTTGGCTGTTGTTTTACATGTGACAGTGAATTAAATGTGTTTTTAGGTTTGTTGGAAAAACTGGCTTTGACGTAACCAAGTTCTTCAGTCCATACAGAGCTGGTACACAGCATCCTCTTCCAGTACAGGTCAGTGGCGTGCGGTACATCTTACCCGTCCCCAAGCTAGTGTAAAGGAGGAAGGGAGGAGACAGGATGGAGCCTCCCTGTCCCTCACTTGCTCCTCACTGCTGAGGCTCCGTGACAGGTTACACAGCGGGGAGATTTCCCTGGGTTGTAATCTGTTAGATGCCGATCTGAATGGACAAGCTGGACATGCAGCTGACAGCTTTTTCCTCCATAATTCTAGGTGAGGCTCTGCCTCACCTGCCTCCCCTGACTGCACGTCCCTGGTACTGTATAAAGTTTTATTTTAAAAATATTTAACAGCTTATGTGTGGCATTCTGTGGATCAAGGGGTAGGGTAGTCACTGTGTATTATTTGAAAGTTCTACAGTCACTTGTCTTAAAGGAGAACTATGAGATGAGTGATTTCCACTCACCTCATAGTTCTAGCCGACCTGTGACAATGAGACTGTCACAGGTCGGCTCAGTAGATCGGGAGGTGAGCGAACACATACCAGGTTCGCTCACCTCTCGATCCTGTCACGGCTCTCTGCCGTGACAGGGGAGGGGCTGGATTCCCCTCTCCCCGCTCTGATCTGCCAGCGCTGACTGGCGGAACGGACGGGGAGGGGGCGGGTACAGCTGGCTCTGCCTCTAGATAGACAGAGCCAGCTGTCACTCACGCAGCTGGGCGGATCCCGTCATCTACGTCGGGATCCGCTCCGGCTGCGGCGTCTCAGTATACCGCGAGCTGTAGCTCGCGGTATACTGAGCTTAGGGTAACGGGAGAGCACTAGTTTGTGTCCTCCCGTTACCCTAAGGAGAACTATGGGGAAAAACACTGACCCCATAGTTCTCCTTTAAGAAATGAATAAACTGATGTATTTTTCATCTGCCAAAGTGAAAATACACACAAAGAACCAGCAATCTTTTAAGTCCATACACTGCCCAGCGTTCAAACATTTTAGCCCTGAGCATCCATAATGACCATCATAATAGTAACCTGTATAGAACCTTCTCTCTAAAGCATCTTCTAATTAACCAGCAGTTTATTACTTTTGTTAAATTCCATAGACTTTTCCTTGATGCCTACTAAAAGAAAGTAAGGTTAATAACTTGATCTTCTTACTGAGCCACTGCATAAAATTATTCTAGGTTATGGATTTAAATGGCTTGAAGGCTATGCATGAATATTCAGAAACACCACCTGCTGTGTACACTTCTCAAAAGAACACTACAGCATGTTGGATTTAAATCGGAATAAAATAATTGCAACCTCTCGTTATCACAATGACTTTGCAATGCTAAATATGCTTTGTGAATAAATGACGGGCTGGCACGAGACCGACCAGCTTGTATTTGATATATACCAACAGCCTTTTAGTCATTACATATGGAGAGAAGTGAATTAATAAACTGCTTTTACTAATTTGTATTAGTAAATATATTAATGATTCACTAGGTACCCGCAGAGACAGTGTACCACATACAGATCTACCAAGTTCTAGTAACATGTAAAAAAACAGATTGCAGTGACCATATGTGTGTATGTAACCATTATAGTGTTTAAGCTGTATGAGGAAGAATAGGAATAATCTACAGGACTTTGGCACAGGGAGCGTCAAATGACAACCTCCAGGCATTGTTAGAAAGCACTCCTGTTTCCTGCTTGACTACGCTACTAAGGAAGGACAGTGTCAGCATCAATTCAGAGATGATTTGAGGAGCTACAGCTAAGTGATGCACAAATAAGCTACATTTTTGTTAATAGTTACATAGTTAGTCAGGCTGAAAAAAGACACAAGTCCATCGAGTTCAACCTATAGAGAGTTCAACCTATAGAGATAGTTAAGGTACTTGAATGCATTTTTAAGATTTAACGCCTGAGTTTAGTGTCACTTTAAAAAAGAACTCTGGGCAGAAGAAAATGTAACCCTTGCAGTGGGGCTAACCCCCACTGCAAGGGTTAAGTGTTCCTTTGCCTTAGGGTCTAAAATAACAAATAAATACTCACCCGAACCTTGGAGCTGCCTCACTGCTAGACCGGTCCCTACAGCCTCTCTTCCTCCTGTCCATTTTTGGGGTCTAAGAACCCATGAGTCATCATGTCCAATTGGATTACATTGGATGTAAGGACGTCGAGGGACAATCCATCCCTGGAGCAGAGGAAAAGTAAGGCTGCAGTGACTGATCTAGTAGCCAGGCGGGTCTAGAGATTATTTGTGTATTTCTTTGTTATCTTAGACCAGGGGTGGGGAACCTCTGGCCCGCAGGCTGTTTAAGGCCTGCAGGATCATTTGGTCTGGCCCTACGAGTCTGCTGTAGACTGGAAGGGATGATCCGCTCCTCCCGGCCTGTAGTGTCCGACACATTCAGTCCTCCCCTCCACTACCCTCCTCCCCACTGTGTGGAGCGTCTGAGCTGCTCAGCCCACGCTACCAGGCTGTACCTGCCGGCTGACTCAAAGAGTCAGAGAGAGAACCCTGAAAGTTGCCCTCTGTGGAGGAGCACCTGTGGAGGTGTGTACTGTGGAATGTAGTGTGTGTCCACTTGTGGATCCTGGGGGGGGCTATTGCTGGAATGTATTGCCTCACCAAAGAGAAGCAGTTCTAGCCATCACATTATGGGTGAGTTAATTAAAGGAGAACTATGAGGTGAATGAAAATCACTCATCCTCATAGTTCGAGCCGGCTGTGGCTGCCTGACATTGGGACTGGAGATCAGTACAGTATTTTGTAATCTATGATCAATGTAGTGCAGTACTGGCAGTGATCACCAGGTG